CAGCTATACAATTCAACATTGAACATTTTACATTACAAGTCTCAATCAGTTTTACTTGTAATCTATGTTAATCATTCTCATCTTATCTTTTCTAATCAAATATCACAAGTATTAAGAATATGATTAAAACTTTTATACAATATTATTGTTGTAATAGTTTTGATGTCTTATAAAAGTTTGGTAATGTTCTAGTAAATAATGATTAATTAATTTCGTATTTGAAAAACAATTCATATCATAATTCTCAAGAAAGAAGAAAACAAAATTCAATAAAACTGCTTCATTAATACTATTCGCTATGACTTTGTCACATTTTACTACGTGACTATTTGCATCTGTCTAATCCGATCGTTCCCGCGCCTGGTTTTAGTTATTATGTAGTCAATAGAGGTTCGATCATGGAAGGAGAAATACGATTCTTGTATATGAATTAGTAAAAGCCGATTATTGTATTTCATCTCATATTCCGAAGCTTTCAGACAAGAAACAAACATACGTTATTCATCCGAGTATACTATAAACATCTTATCAATATTTCATTGATAACTTTAATTTCTTTTAGACTTACTTCTGGTTTTTCTCCCATACAACTAACAATTGTATCTAATGTATTTAATACACCCATAGCAGCAACAGTTCGTTCTTCTGCTTTACTTTCATCATTTGATGTATTTTCTGAACAAACAACATGTTTAAAAAATTCAACTAATTGTGATGTCATTTGTACAGCAATTGGTTGTAATTCTTGATCAAATAAACCAACAATTTTTTGTAAAACAATCATAACATCATCAATTTCCGTTTGTCGAATTATTTCAATAATACGCATAACAATTATTTGTAAATGTGGTATTATAATTGCTTTACCTTTTTCACCTGTATCTGTATCAGACATAAATAAATTTAAAGCCATAGCAGCTTCAACTTTAACTGGTAATGATGTATCATTACATAAACAATTTATAAGATATGTTAAACATCGTACTGAATTATCATTATTTGTATATTCAAGTTTAGAAAAATTTCTTATTGCATAACAAGCACGTGCACGTAAAAATGCTGTTGAACTTTGTAATTCAGGAAATAAATATTGAACAATCATATTTTCTAATTGATTAGCAAATGCTTTTTTTTTAATAAGAATATTACCAATAACACCTAACATATGTAAAATACCATCTTTTTGTTTTATTGTTATTGTATCATTATGTATTATTGTACCAAGAAATGAAACTGTTTTCATTAAAACATCTTTTCGTTTTGCTACAGCTTCAGAAAGAAATAATTCAGCTGCTGATACGGGACTTACATATTCATCTAATACATCTAAATAAAAAGAAAAAAATTCTTCAATA